CTTCCCACCCCCTCCCTCTCCTTTTCTTTCCCTTGCTTCTTCTCTCCTCTTTTCTTCCCACTCTCTCTCCCTTCCTTTCTCTCTCTTCTCTCCTGCCACCAGTTTTACAGTCCTCATTCTAACGTGGTTCTTCAAAGAAACAGAGAGTTCCGATATCTCTTCTTCGATGTGCGGGATTTGGGGTGCTGCAGAACATTGCACATCACAACTTTCGGGTGTCATTCCTTCGTGGAACTATCTTACTGACAGTAGCATCCACTCACCTACCATTCAAAGTATACGCACTTGTGACAGTTTTCTGCACGGTTTTCACAGTGCCGCAATCGCGTTTGGGCGCTAATAATAGTTACTCACCCACCGCTCGTTATCATGGTCATCCAACTTGTGACTTTTTTGAGCACACTGGCTCTGCCAGTCGCCGCCGCCTAGTTTGCGGGCAGCTGGACCCCTGTGAGTCTGCAGACACTATGAGCCACTGAAAGGCGCGCTCAGATGAACAGTGTGTCTGCGCTGTGCCTTGGATCGCGAAGCGCGAACTGCATGTTCATGCTTTATGCAACGTTTCTGCGCCGGTTTTTCTCTTTTACAGGGACATTCTTTCACCCACATCCATCAGACATGGAGGTATATTACGCTGTCGACGTGTTTGTGTATTGTACTGTGGCAGCCCGCATTGGAGAGAAACAGCGCGTGAACCGTGCATTTGTCACAGTAGTTGGCCATTATAATAACTCTGAAACTTTCAATATGCAAGACTATTCCTTGCATCAGATTATTTAGGCACAAAAACAGCTCCTGGTGAGCAAATTGCTACTGGCCATCAGAAAAACCACCACACCTCCAAAGTCACTCACATCTTGCTACCCCAGAACAGAAACGCCACAGTTCACTTAAGACCGCCTATCCCAAACTCCGACCACCCCCAAGTCTCCCACAACATAAAAAACCATACAAATACGCCATCACATCTTACCGACACATGCACCCTCAAGAGCGCTTATGCATTACTTGCTTCAGGCAAAGATTAATAACCTTCTTCAAACGACAGCCCCACTCGCAAAAGTTTAGAAAAAGGAGGAAAATGCCGTTGGGCCTGAAGACAAAATGACACCGGAGGAGACTCACCAAACCAAACAGGCCAAGGCCCACAGTATTCTTTAATTGCGTATCAAGGCAAGTATCCGTTCGGAGGAGGACCTAACTCGTCATTAGACTATACACGAGAAGTCACTTATTTCCTCCCACAAAACGGCCGCCAGAAATCTGAAAACGCTGGAAGTTACAGGAGAACAACTCGCCTTGTGCATGCGCTCCTCAAGTTGCCGATTGTCTCAACCCACAAACAAGGCCTCTTGTGGCATTCAGAACTAAAGTCGTCACATCTAAGTCTTAATCAAACCGATTTGACGTCCGTTAGCCCAGGCTTAAACAAGCTCTCTCAAAGTATTATTAATCCCCAGCAACTTCATCCAGGGTGAGCAGCAAGATGTTAAGACGTGACCAGGGAAATTATTCATCCCCACCCGTAATTTATCCCGGTTATATCGGCTTCCGGTACTACGCGATTGCATGGATTTTGTTCAACTATTCGCCACTTCTGGAGGAGAGAGAAACGGGGAACCACGCATTTGTTGTGCATACAAGAGCGAGTTAATCTTCTATTAGCGAGGCTTTTCTTTGCTGGGAGCAAGCAAATTACGCAGAAGAGTTGCCAATTCTGCGGACGGAGTGGTTGGAAGCGGTTTCAATCGCAGGCATGCCCAAAGCTGAATTCGACGAGCTGTCTTCAAGGGGGGCCGACAGGAGCGGGGGGGTTTCGAGTGGGGGTCGGGGGGCGACGCGTAGTAGTGAGGTGGGGGTGAAGAGAAGTGGGATGGCCGCGGAGCGCATCGTGAGGAAGGACGAGCACGGTGTTAAATCAGTTCAAATGTAAGAGGAGGAAGAGCGAAGAGACTCGCGCAGAAAAAAGAAAAAACGCGACGTAAACACCGTAAACCCAAAACGAGAGATGAATTCCAAAAGACACCAGCAAGAAGCACAAGAAATCCGGCACCCATTCCTTCACCTGAAAAGTGTGGTAGCTCCTCCAAGAATCCCTGCCGAGATGCTACACTATACTTCCAGAAAACTACCACCACCTGCGCCTAGAACCCCACTTCTTCCAGCCAGATGACAGCCATGTGGAACACTTTCACGAGCTCATTTGCCGGCCGAAAATCCTTCCCCGCAACTAGAGGACCCTACGCTGCAGCCTCAAAAACTTGAATGCTGCTGAGGGCATGCTCCACACCCCACCAAGGATGGCTGCTCATGTGCACAGAATATTGCAGCAGCAGCGCAGCAGTAGACGATGCTGCACAGGAAGAAAGAGACGAACAAGGAGACCGCGAAGGCAGGCATTTCGTCACTCCAGCCGAAGTCGGGGTCAGATCACACAAGGTCTGATTCCGACCCAATAGTGGGCCTTTCTACCCAGAGAGCCAGGAGAACCCGGTACACCGTTTGAGGGCATCACAATGAAGTGTGCACGCGAAAGACTTACTCGCCCTGAACCACAACCGTCGCAAAGGAAAACGTGAAATTCTCTTTGCCGCTAAAACCAAATCAGCTTCGATGGAAAGCTTCGACTGCATGGCTGCTTCCCACCCTGAGCCATCGTTAGTTCCCACCCATCTGGATTCTAACAGTAACCATGACGAGTTCGGGAAATGAGCATGGTGGTATTTGTGCCGGACGACGAACTCGTCTCCGGACGAGGGATCCAAACGAGACAGTGTGAACAGCGAGAAGCGCATCCAGCTCAAGAAGAAGGGGATGTTCGTCTGTGCGCTGTGGGAGCAAACTACACGAGCACTCTTCCACACTTCACTCCAGCAGGTCAGGTCAGACTGACGAAACAGGTCCAGCCAGCAAGAATTGTAAACGGAGACGCCTGTTACCGAAGCGGAGAGAGGCTCGAGCTCGAATGCAGGAAGAAAACGAACAAACGGTCAGTAGGAGTGAGCGACAATTCCGCATATCTCGTTGGCTACAGCATGAATTGCTTTGCTCTCCATTACAAATCAATTGTAAAGATTCACATACTTCACAGGTGTGGTTTTTTCAATACATTCATGTATGAACATCCTGCGACGCATGCGGCTTTATAACAACAACATAAAAACCTTTTATAATTATAGGTATAAGTGGGCCCACGAGTCCGGGTGAGAAACAACCTCTTCCCTCACTATATAACAGATACACCACAAAAACGTGAAATCTTGCCCCCCAGAGCGAGAGAACTTAATCAACCGATTTTTCAATGGCCCGGAAAAATGCCACTCTCTGCAAGACACATCCCGAGCCTCGTAATCCCTACGTATCTTGACATTTGGTAACAGACTGCTAGGCAAAGAGAAGTATATTCATATTCAACATCAAGCTGCATGAAAAACAAAGAGGAGCTATACGAAGCCCACAGTATTTTTTTTTTTTTTTTTTTTTTTTTTTTCCCCAGATTGTTTCATCATGGCCTGACATTGGTGACTGAAAATAGGGAGAGGAGGAAGAAGAAGAGAGAGTGAAAAAGAGACACGTGACTTATCTAGCAGGACCGACAGTTGGGAATACCAGGGAGAAACCCAGGATTTACATGCGGCTGTGTGCGTATAAAACAAAACGGACGGGGAGGTGTGCATATATACGAGCAACACCCAACACCAGGAACCCCCCCCTGAGCACCCCAACCCAAACCCCCCAGGACCACGTCCACCGCACCCCTCATCATCCTTCGATCTCGACGGCACCAGTACATTAATTGATGCTAGATCAAGTAAGCTATATAGCTATAGCGGAGCTATTTAGTTAATTGTTTATCTCTCCTGAACAGTGTTGCAGGACGTCTTTTTGAGCTCTATGAGGCTCAAGGGCTATGTTTCAGCGACCACCCATAATATGTGAACTTTGATTATTGCGCAAGACTGCTCTCGCACCAGACATCACAGCAGCACACCTCGTTAAGTCGACCATGACGGCCACCCATAACCCCAACCCCCACGTTCCCCCCCCCCCCACACATGCAGCACACAGTGGGGTTAGTATTGTCGTGTTTAGGTTTGTGGCATGAAAATATAGACGGTGATGTTACTGTTTGAATCGAAGTGCCTTGGAGTGCATTAGTCACGGTGACTTTTTGGTGACGATGCGAATTTCAACTCTGTTGCAAGTAATCATGCATGCGACTTGCAATGTATGGGTATGATGGGTGGACACAACATAATGTTGCATGAGATAGCTATTGCGCACAACATATTATGTGGACCATACAATGAAGTTGTATGAGGCTTTTGGGCTTTTTCACCCAACACCGTGCATGTTGGCACATCGATTATGCGCAGCCAGGCCTCGTGCATTTTTACTGAATATTTAGAGACAATTCTGTTTGTGTTCACAGGTGGTGATAAAACCAGACCACCCCCTGCTTCGCCCCCCCCCCCCCCCATGGCGTAGGACCCCCCCAAACGCATTCTAAAGGCGCCGGGGGGAGCAATTGGATCCACGTCACTGATCTCATCGAAGTTCTGCCCGAATGTGAATGCAATCACCAATAGCTCCACCATCTCAGCTTGCATGTCGTCCTTCAGTCCATCTTCCCCCCCAATTCCTTTTGACCCCGGACCGGCGTAGTAAAGAATAAAGATGCATTCAGGAAACCCTACCGGTGGCCCCCGCCCGTCCTCTAGGTAGGATCCTGGCTACCGTGAGTGCCACTCTCCGAAGATGCGAAACAGGGAGCTGCAACGAGGTTTCCTATGTAGAGCAAAGATAGACGAGAAAGTTCTCCAGCGACCTGGGCTGTGTCAGAATACATCCGTCTTCGTCACCGTAGCCAGCTCCGTTGCAGAGCCCCAGGGTCAAACAACTCCCCCCCCCCCCGACACCACACCACCTTGCCCTCCACCGCTAAAAACCCCGTGGCCATGCGTCGGCGAGGATCCTAATCAACTTGCATTTTTCGCTGGAAACCACTTTGACGACATTTTTGCAACCCACCCCGACGTGCACCAGTCCCTTCCGGCCTCCTTGAGCCCCTTTTGCCGCCAACAGAAACCCTCTAATCACAACCTGCTCTTATCGCAGGATTGAGACGCCAGCCACACACATAAAACCCCCACCTGTTTTTGGGCATGTCGGGGCACCGTTCAGGGCCCCCGCACATCCCTCGCTAAGTCAGGGGTTCAACCCCCCTGTTCGCATCGAGGAGAAACCGTATGGTCCTGCCATCCCTCGGCCCCCCATTGCAAAATTTTGTCAATCGGTATGCATGGCCTCCTCATCAGACGAGCCCCCCGCCAGCCGCGGTGCCCGGTATTACGGCCTTTTCAGGCACGGTCTGAACTCCCATCCTAGACCTGCCCCAGACCTTTCCTGCCTCCACTAATGACTGTCGGCCCGCACAAGACGTTTAGGACCTCCCACGACAATAGCCACCCCCATCGCCCGGAGGAAGAACAGGCCGTCGACAGGTAGTTCTGGGACTGAGTCAGAGTCTCTGCTCCTAGATGCAGACACAGTTGGACCTGCACCTACCTAGTCCATCTTCTTCCTGGCCGAAACCTCACAGTCCAGCTTGATACAGGGACATCTAGTTATTGTATGAGTGTTTATTTACGTTATTATTCACCCAACCAATCAGATCTCTGGAATTATCATTTTGTATGCACTAATGTTTGTCGTTTAATGTATATAGCAAGGCACAAGGCGCAAGTGAAGACATCAGTTTGAAGGTGTATTCAGAGCTTCAGAGTGCAACTTCAAAGCAGATTGTGTGTGATCAGCTATCCCCGCAAGCAACAAAACGGTAGGATGCAAAATAAGAACGTCACATGCCGTAGTATTACAACATATTATATACAAAGTTAAAGTAAAACATCCATTTTTCAATTTGAAAGCCATTTTTTTTTTGATTTTTATTTCCCATACTTCAGCGAACACTTTCACAATGAAAAATAATAAACAACCATTTATAAACTTTACAAAGAGAAAGACGACTACAACATTGAAAATTCTGTTGAAAATTGTTTTGAAGTTAAATCAAAATTACCCAAAATGTACAAACCACGAATATAACGACACGCCGCGACAGGAGCCTCTGTCTAGCAATGGGCAGAGTCAGTATATAATGATCACTGCAAGCCGTAAGAGCGTTCTGTTGAACAGAAAGCTCAACTCGTGAGCGTGGTTTGCTTTTGTTGGATGACGAGAGCTGGGGAGAGGAGCGTACGACCTCGCCTCCCCCCACCCCCTCCTGGATCCACCCCCCCACGACACTCCAAACCAACACCACAATGTATCGTTCAACGGCCCCCAAACACACACCCCCAAACCCCCCACTCCCTATCTCACGCCCTCCCCTCAACTGCACCCCCCACCGCCCCACACCAACTGCCGTCAACAGTCATCGACAGACGCCCCCCCCCCATGAGCGCATTTATGCAATCCAGCCCTAAACTCTATGTTTCTG